ATATAGATCCATTAAAATCTACATCACCTGATAATCAACCAACTATTGCAAATGATACAATACCAATATTTTCAATTCGAAAAATTTATAAAAATTTAATTTTACTTTCTCTATCATTTATTATTTTATTTACGGCTTATAATGGTATGGTAACACTTCAATCAAGTTTAAATACAAAAAATAATGTTGGTGTTAATTCTCTGATTATAACTTATTCTTTTTTGATCGTAAGTTAATTAATTTTCGGAACAAATTTTACTTCAAAACTAATTTTCACTTGTATTAGTTTAGTTCTATAGCTCTTACTGGTGTTTGTATGGATTTATTTGGTCTTAAATTTACGATAATAATTGGTGCAATTGGTTATATATTTTATATAGCTGCTAATATAAAACCTTTACCAGTACTTATGTATATCAGTAAGAGATGATTGATAGATCTTTTCTTTTTTATCTTCAAGTGTTTTATAGCAGATTTTTTCTTTTTTGAGGCCAAGTTTTATGAATTAATTGTGTTTCTTTTAGGTGCAGCTCTTGTTGGTTTAGCTGCAGCTCCATTATGGACAGCAAAAGCTACATATCTTAATCAAATAGCTCGTTATCATTCTCAACATAAAAATCAAAGTCATGAAATATCCGTTAGTTTATTTTTTGGTATATTTTTTGCATTATTTGGTACAAATACAATTTGGGGTAATGTAATATCATATTTTGTACTTAATCAATCTAGTGTTGCACAAAAAATAAATTGTGGAGTTCATTTTGATCCTACATCAGCTTCACCAACAAATACAACTCAAAATGTAGATGATACAACAGTAAGATATATGTCTTTTGTTTCAATCAATCACATATTTATTTTTTAAAGCGTTATATTCTTTGTGGAATATTTACTGGAATGGGTTTATTATCAATGTTACTCTTATTTTTAACACTTGATTCAATTGCATTAACACAAAAGCGTACGAAAGAATTTTATCTTTTAGTTCGATATTCTTTTGTGTTATTTAGAAACTATGAAACAATTATTAAAAAAAAGTCTTGAAGTTCTTCTATCATTAAAAGAATGGAAACATATTGATCAATTTTTTCTCATACCAATTACAATGTGGACAACAATTGAAACGGCTTTTTTAACAGCACAATTTACTCGAGTAAAGAAATTTATCTTACTAAAAATATTGAACTATTTATTTTACATTAGGGTTTTATAACTTGTCTTATTGGTATTCGGTATGTTGGACTTGTTATGGTATGTAATGGAATATTTCAAGCATTGAGTAGTTATATCTTTGGACGTCTTGTTAAATATACAGGACGAATATTTGTATTTTCTATTGCTGCTTTAATTAATTATGCTATGATTATATTAATGTTTCTTTGGGAACCAAAATCAAGTCAAATGGTTTTATTATTTGTAATTGCTGGATTTTGGGGAATTGCAGATGCAATTTGGCAAACACAAGTTATTGGTATGAAAATATACTTATCATATATGAAAGCAATTGAACATGATGTTTCTCTCTATTTTAGCTACTTATACAGTTCTTTATTCGGATACTGATCCAAGTGCTTTAGCAAAATATCGTTTATGGAAAGCAATTGGTTTTGTGATAACTTATAGTGTAAGTTTTTGATCTATAAATTCAAATGAATAATGACATTATTTTATTTTTTGCAGTATTCTAGTTATGTTACGATTCGAACTTCTCTTATTCTTCTTCTTATTTATTTATCTATAAGTATGTTGTCTTATGCATTTGTTGAAATCCATATTCGTTGGAAAGAACATTCAAAAAAGAAATGTGCTGTTGCAAATACTACAGAATGATAATACATTTTTTTTTTATTTATAATTCCTTTTTTTTCTAAAATAAATAGAATACGTCATATATCAACAAGCAGATTGTTATCTTTTATAAGAAGAAAAAAAAATACTATATCTTTTCTCTTCTTCTTTTTTTTGTCAAAACAAAACTAAAAATATGACTACACGCTGTTTATTTGGTATATTTGTTTTTGAATCAAATTCTTCGTTAGTTTATCGATTTTTAACCAAGGATTTATTTGAATATTTACATAAATTGTTTGTCGATCGAGGTTATTCATTCGATGAAAATAATCAAGTAAAAATATATTTGTTTTTTTCGATTTCGTTTTATTTACTAAAAATAGTTTTTAAGGATAATTCAGATATAAATTTTTCAATTGATGATGCTATTGTACAACATTTCTCTACATTAGTTACTCTTCATGGACAAACATTATATAAAAAGAGTCCAATTAGACAAGTAACACTTGAATCAAATACGAAAGTTTTTTTCGATCAAGTACGGACGATGATGATGATAATACATAGAGATAGTTTTTATTAAATTCGTTTCTCTTATATATATATAGATGGGAGACAATAGAATTTTATGTATGACCGATGATTCATTTGATTCAATTGTGGTATTAAAAACAATCAATTTATTCAAAGCATTAGTTCAGTTTCATTTAGGTGCATTACCATTTACGTAAGATATTCGATGAACGATAAAATTTGTTTACATTATTGTTTTCATATAGAAAAAG